ATACATTTATGTTAACTGTGTATATCATCCTGAACTACACACACGATGTGACTATGCATCTTATCAACAAAGTGATATGAGGAGTAGCTACGGTAGACACAATATGTTACATTAATATGAAGGGTAAATAATGGTTAAGATTGAACTCATTTAAGTGAGAACATAATTAATGTTAAGATATTATGTAACAAGCATATCAATAAGTTAACCTTTATTCAGCCATATTGAGAAGTACATTGAAGAAAGTATCAAACTTACTGCCACCGCGGTAATATGATCTCCAGGAAGACCTGTTGAAAATATACATTAACATGAACTGCCTCTTTATTGGATCCTCGTGTTTGTGCAGTTTTAGAATGTGAAAATGAACAAGGCTCCTGCTTAAAATGTGTTCAATTGCATTCCACGAAAAGTCAAGTAGAGTACAGTGTAACTGGAACTGCCTTCAAATTACATCCTCGCTGATGTCCATAAGCCACCACTGCTCAAAGCACAGTATCCCTTGGATATAACGCCCCTGGTTGTAATACCACCCAGGATATGCTACCGTGTTTTTGCGAGAACGGATTTCTTTTCCTTATAATACCCTGGTTACAATGCCATCTGCCAATGATTTGGGGAACAAAAATCATTTTAATGCCAATTACACAGGCTGCATGTAGTATACATACCTTAAGTGGTTAATTGACATAACTCAAATTATTTGACCAAACACATTAGGGCTTTAAGTAGTCGTGTTCCCAGATGGGATAACACATGTGACAATACACTTCCTGCTACATACAACAAGTCACCTGCAGCCCCTAGATGCTGGGATTATCCAGTTATTCGAGGATCATTACAGGAGACATCAACTCAATCACCTTGTTGATTGTATAGGGCCTCAAAGTGTCCTACCTGGTTATAATGCCACCCTGGATATAATGCCATATCTTCTCTTGGAAAACTGTGACATTATAACCAGGGTATACTGTATGCGTGATTCTGACTAGCATGAGTTTGAAGGACTCTATCATCTATCGTATACGTGTTCGCGAACAGGTGAGTATATCCTGCCTTCTGGGAGCACACATCACATGGAAGAGCAGTTTAAATATTCACCTGCACCGTACACAAGTGAAAATTAGAGTTGCACCCGACATAAGTGTTTCACTTATGCGTCTGATTTCCCTATAAATGGTTTAAAGCTTTCCTGAGGCCTTCGTAGTTGTAACCTTAACCGCACAACTTTGAACAACACATGAACGGCGCAGTTAAAATCTTCGGAGATCAGAGGTTGTGAAATGTAGAAAGGCAAGAACTGCTGTAATATTTCTCGACATAAAGTTGACTTTGGTTATCCCTTATGTCATACAATCGTGCAGGGTGCTTATGTGACTCTGGGTCTTTATGCTTATTTCTGAATTGTAAAAAGATGAGTCAGGCGTTGCATCTGTTTTTTTCTACATTAGCAGACGAAACAGCTGACATGTAAACACGGTCCACGTTCTGGCAACTTTCTAGGTTTGGCTGGATCATACCACTCAGTCTGAGTTAAGCCCACCCACAAAGTTGAACAGACTGAAGTTTGTTTGTTTATGTGTTAATACTCTCCAGTCTGACGGCGAAGTGATATAAAACCAGGAAAAGAACATTAAACTTACTTTCGGATGTATTTCCTAAAGCCTGCAAATGAAACAAGTAACACATTGATAGAATACATATACGATTTATTCAATATATGGTATGAAATACAGTGAAACCATGTTACATACTATGCTCAACAAAAATATTTAAGGTTGGTTGTTTCATCATGTTTTCCACTAACATGCTGTTAGTGTTAGAACAAATGAATATTTTCATCGTTCTTGTATTAATAGCCTTGAAGGATAGTTATACTTTTAAGTTTACCTACCTCCAGGTGTTCCTGTACGTTCTTGTTTCCCATGGTAAGTGAAGACACATGATTGAGATCTATCTGTCTGATGGCGTCAGCATCCAGTGAGGTGTCCCCCTCTGACACCGCCATAGCCACGGCCTGGTACAGGAACAGGTACTGCTCCTGGTGTTAGACAATGAGAAAGAAATATCAGGAGACAAGGATAGATAACATGTGAACTACACAGGGTGTTGGTGGTGTACTCACCTTGGTCTGTTTCATGTTCTTCCTTTGGCCTCTCATGTTGGAGACGAAGCTGACGACGTCCACAAACCCTTCTGCCGCTGCCTGACCCACGAGACTCTCTATAGCTATGTACGTCCCTGTCCGGCCTATACCAGCACTAGAGAAGAAGAAGAACCAGTATAAATATGACACTATATTCCTAATTTACACTAATATCTACATCAAAGTCCTTATGTTCCACCTGTGGCTCGTCCACCTCAATTACTTTCATATAATCTACATCCTCCGAAACATACATATATATGTATGTATTTCTCTATATATCAAAAAGCAAACTGCAAGTCATAATATAGAGTTACAAATACATTGATTGAACGCGGAAATACTCTGTATCATCTTATAAACATCAGTTTCGTTTCCGTCCGAGCCAACCTGTGTCCTCGTGACCATCCTAGAAAAACTCTAACCTGCAGTGGACTATGATAGGTTGTGTTTGATGTCTTGTGGTGGCCTTGACCCTCCACATAAACTCCAGCAAGGCGGAAGTGTCTGGTACACCATGGTCAGGCCAACTTGTGAAGTGAAAGTGGTGAACGTGATGTATCTTTCCTTCCTGATATTTAGAATTAATAGCATTTGATTTATGTTGAATAATACTTTTGTCACAAACTATTACATATTTATGTTTATATTTTCGATAAAGATATGGTTTAGAAAAATTGTAATCATTGCAAAAATAATACCGATTTATTGTGAACAGACAGTTTTGTGACTGTGTAGTTTGCAAGTTGAGTTTCTGTCTCCTTGGTAACTGAAATATCGCCGTAAATGGATGTTCCTTTCTCGGGCCAGTACTGAAGACACATCATCTGTAAGTATTAGGAGATTTAAACATGTGAAGTAGGATTAATATCTCGATTCATATCAAACGAGGCTATAAAATCATGAACACGAAACACTACAACGGGTGTTATTTTGTATGTGAGATTTCTGGTTTTTTGTATTATTACGGATGCGTATGGAATTGAGACTCTCGTGTCAACCATCTTTCTTTAAACACCATTATCCAGTTTCTGCTGAACATTCAATATCGTTGAGAGGGAAACGAGGTGAATGTGTGGAAGATGCTATATACATATGTATTACCTTCCCCGCCTCTACAAGTCCCGTCACCATGACAATTGTTGTAGACTGCTCCTGATAGATCATTCTCCAGAAATCCACCACTACTTCCGGTCTGTAGGGACCTTACAAGAACATGAATATGACATGGAACGTCTATAGGTCATCCATAGGTATTCAGAAAAAAAAGTTAACGCTAAAATAGAATCCTACTTTTATGGCAGTGGTCACACAAAAGTGACCACCTTAATCAGATTAATCAGGTTTTCATTCTTCAAAGTTAGATATGCTCAACCACAAAAACAGTTTAACGCAATTACCAGTACATGTATGTTTGTATTTTCAACAGTCCAGTTTGGTCTAACAACTGCTTTTTTAAAGTATAAATTAGTCGCTCAAACAAATTTTCGTAAGTCCGTTCTTTACGTTTGTGGTCCTGTTTCCACTGAGCTGTCATAATAAGATCCTGAGAACCAGAAAGCAAACTGAATGCCCACTTGTTTCAAAAGCATAAAGACAAAAGGAATAAATTCAAATGCACACCGATCAATGTTGTAAAGTTAAAGATGGTCTCAAAACGGACAGATCCCAAAGTGGAAATACACCTGCAACTCAACATTACGTCATTATCAATAAATGAAAGGAGGAATAGATTTTAAATGATATTGTTTTTGTTTGTTTTGATTTTTTTGTTTTTGGGGTGGGGGTGGGGTGAGCATTTATACAATATCTGCTTTCTTTAGATATCAGTTTGAGTAACCGTTTGTGTGTGAGAAACCTTACCTTGTGCTGCTATGTAACGCTTTTCTGCTTTGTATCCCTGAAGAGAATTTAATAAGATATGTATTATTTATATAAATATGAAACGTCACTGACAGCAAAGCCGTGTATAATAAGATTTAAGCAACATAATAAACGCCGAAACTACTACGAGTATAAGTTAACTTCAAAGGACAAGCTACAAGATCAAAACGGCCCATTTTGCAGTTACGCTCAGTGTGTATTCGGTGTCTGACAGACAGTAGTTGCTTAACTCACATCGAGGTAGCTGGCGTTGATGTAGTCTCCATCTTTGTCGTCACTGACGCGGTGCAGCACCACGCGGTTGTAATCATCTGAATACGAATACATCGGCGATTTAGACTTGACACTGGATGACGAAATGCAGCTGACTGAAAACAATTATGTTGTACGATGTCAAAGTTGACCTTAGATTTAAACTTGATCACCTACAAGATGTACTCACATGGGTAATAGCCTCTGAACCTGTTCTTTCCTTTGTTTTCAGGTAGTTGAGATTCATCATAGGAGTGGACATAACCATCAGGAAGTCGCTGAAAAGGAAAACATGTGACATACACAGGCTGATACTAAACAAATCACTTACTCCACATTATTATCACATCCACAGTATGTACTGTTATCCAAACTAAAACCTGTAAGCTGAAGACAATTGGCACTAACTGTAATTGCCTTTGTGTGAGAGTTGGTTGTCTCGAACAGCATTCTCTGGCCACAGTCACAAGTGGAAAGAGGGAATGCATTATGTATGTGCTAGATATAATCAGTCTTTCTTGAAGCCACAATTCCCATTCGAAAAACAAACATGAGATAGTTTGCTTCCATTTATATTAATGGATGTTTCAAGGAGATGTTGTCGGATGGTTTTGTGTGATGCAGCTTTCATGGTGTATACTAAGTGTCATTAAACAACATAATTATGTTACATTTTGTTAATTCTTCCTCGAGCTTGTGCACATCATTCTGTGTTTACCTTGAATTCTTCTTCTGCACTTGCTGGAGTCATTTCTTCCACCCTTTTCTGTAATTCTGACACAGGAATCACGTGATCCCGTCCATTGTCGTCCAGGTTGTAGTAGTTTCTGTCAGGGGCCTCTGGTTTGTCCTCAACCTGTGCAGGCTGCTGAGACAAGTCATAGTCCTCTTCCTCCTCCACGTTCTGAAGGTCAAGGTCACCTGTTCCGCCTTTACCCATATCCTTGCTTCCAGTCGTAGAGACAGCTTCCCCTGCTGAATTGCCTTGGGATTCGGTCTGCCTACGAGCCTTCATTTGTTTAGCTGATGTCTTCTCCGGAGACAACGTTGGTTTCTCGTCGTTATCAAATCCGATATTCATGTACATACCAATGTCTTCCGCTACAGGAAACAAAAAGGACACTTCACAACTAAGATACATGATATGATGTCTTTATCATGTATAGAAGTACGGATGATATGTACAGAAGTTACTGGACCTCTAACAAGCAGATCCATGTCACTGTCAAGGTCCATCATGCAGTATTATTGTTGACTATACAAGATCATTTACGTATGCTACAGCCTCTGTATATTACACCAGTCAAAAATAATCTTGCATAAATTAAGCAAACCAGAGAGACGAATCTACCTTGTGTGGGTTTCACGTTATCAGCAGCCACTGGCTTGTGTGTTGAGCGTCCATGACTTTTCCCCCGTCTTCTTCTAAATGTAAGGACACAAATTGAAATATAGCTTGAATAGAACAAGGGCTCGTGATTTTGCAATAAATATGTACTGATGCATTGTATTTGAAGACATTACAGAGGTTTGTATTGGTTTTAAAAAGCTGATTCGTTCTGGACAAAACAGACCTGATCAGGATGACTGCGAGGACCAGTAGCAGTATCACCACCACGCCGACTACAGCTCCCACTACAGCAGCGATTGGAAAAGAGGCGGCTTCAGGCTGCTGACTTGGGGTATGTGTGGCAACTTTCTCTGGATGTAGAATGGAGAAGATTACGGTCAATGTCAGCAGAGATGTGCAAACGTCTCTCATCACATAAAACGTGCTTACTGAAATAATCTTTGTCATTTTAGAAGCCTCTGTTTCAAAAGCAAATCCATGATGTTATACCAATAATGCATCTGTCATAAATTGAAGGAAAGTTTCTTTCTTCGGCAGATTACTGTTGTTAGAATTGATATATACATGAACAAGTCACTTGGGTATCCTGTGTCACAACCGCTGTAGAAATATGGATGCTTGTCATGCGCGATGTTACCCTCACACGCTCTACCCTGGCTTTGACAATCCAACCTTTACTCAGATACATGACGATACCATAATTGGGCTGAAATGACACGTGTAGATTGTTCAATGATTATTTATTTCCATGATTAGGTATGTGCGTACGACTTTGTATAGGCAGTTGAACGTGTCCTACATTGCCGTGCTCTGACTATTTGTTGAAAGTCTGAAGTCCGACATGAAATGACTGTTTTAACCTGTGTCCCATCCGCTGCTTCCCATCCTTAGGACATTACATGGACTTTAGCATTGACCATCAGTCACATCACAATCATCACTCTGTTACGAACAGTCACAAACTCTCGTGACTAGCTTCTCTCCCGATATTGCAGTAGCTTATGTAGAGTCATAGTATCTCCCCCGTCTCCGATCCATTGTAACCTGCTTGCTGCTTTGCACCCCACGTCGACATCTTGTTATTACCTGTACAGTCATCCCCTGTCCAGCCTGCTTCACATCCACCATCACAGATCCCTGTTGCGTCACAGGAAGAGCTCTTCACACAGTGTCTGGAGCTACAACTCATGTTGCACTTGCTCCCATAATGTTGGGAGTCACATTCTGGAATAAGATGATTAAATAAGTCATATGTCACCTCATCTTTTACGTAACACATACATATGTGTTATTCATTACCTATCAAGCATCACATTCATTAGTACATGTTGTATATCATGATGCGACACATATAAATCTAAGTATATTTAATTTTTCAATCTTGATACCATGATCCATTGCTTTATTTCTTACAAAATACTTTGACACCGTATCCAGTTTCTCTTCGCACAAAGCAAAAGTAAGTTTGTCACTATCACAGATGTTTCTTCATGTTTCGCATGGCCTGTACATATTATGAAAGTTGTGATTGTGGAAGGTGTCTCTGCTCTCTCACAGTGGCTTCAACCAGTCAACCAGTCATATTTATTGCCACCCAAGTTAGTGAACCTCATTGGTGGCATTACCTGTCCTTTCTCTCCCTTCCACGCAACTTTATCGTTAATTATCAATAAACTGTCAAGATTCTATACCTTGTGTGCAGTCAACCTCCATCCACCCAGGATGACATCCTGTGTCACATGATCCAGTGTGACGGTCACATGACGAATTTGTAGCTGAACACTTCCGCCCAGCACATGTTTTGTAGCAGTTGATGTCATAGGTAGTGTTGTTGCAAGCTGTAAAATGTAGAAAAGCATCAAGTTCATAAAGTTGAGAAACATGTGAGCTTCCCGGGTAATCGTGTCAGCAAACTGTATGAAACAAGTCTATATGTGAGGTCGATCACCACTTAACATGTCCCTACAAACCAACCCACAGTAAGACGTCCACAAAGTCCTTTTGCATTTCTTCAAAATTGTCTATGACTTACAAACGAGATTAACTGTTTATATACTGTGTACATACTGTGAATATGTGAAAGCGCCAGGGAACAGTCAAACTGGAATCTCCGCTCTATACAAAATGACTAGATTAGATTAGATCATTAATGATTAACCTACGGACACAGTCAACATGTCCATTACAGTCTCCAGTACCACTGACTGGTGCCATCAATCCTGACAGTAGAAACCTCTTACCTGAATCACATCTCTGCCCCTGCCACCCTGGTCTACAGTCTCCAGGACACAATCCAGTCCACCGATCACACGTTGAACCCAGGCAGTGACAGAACATATTACAGCTCACTCCGTAGACACCTGTACTGCAGACTGGTGCATAATAATATCCAGATGAATACATAAAGACAAATGTATATATATGAGTATTAACTTGTAGCCATTAATAAATGGGAATTTGTGCGAATATCGAATTGATGAACTGCCGACATTATTCTATTTACCTGATTTGATCAGTGATAGCTACAGCTTTTTGCATCTTACGATGGTTGATAGAAATAAACAGTGTGCTGTTACAATTACATCGCATAATTTCATCATTTCCCAACCTTAATACCAACAAATGCAACGTAGTCAAATATAAACTGGTCCCCTCAATACACTGCCATTTGTCAAGTATTTTGTAGGAGGGAATCTCAAAACGATATTCGTTTTATTCGCAATACGATATTTGACGCGCTGATGCTCAAGAAACATCTCCATGTTGCTTAGCCTTAAAGCTATAGTCTAGATCTGTTACCAAAGGAGTCGCACCAAGAGATCAAGAGTATCTGCCTTCAGTGCGTTGTTACCATCGCAGACCAGAACCAGATTGTGAGTTCCATAGCAAATTCCATAGATAATTACATATAACATAACAGGGAGAATGGAGTCATGTCTTTCTTTGTGGTAATGCAAATGTGCATTTAGTCGAAGTAAGAGGACTTCAAGATGAATAAACGTCAGCTCCAGAGAATATTAACCAGTCTTATCTTTTGACAAAACATACTTCATTGAGCGTAAAACGGAAATGGACTCTCACAAGCTCAGAACACTAACTATAGCACTGTGTAGCAGTAATGGTATCATATATTAGCGGAAGGGGTAAGCATTTCCTGCCCTACCGAAGGCACCCATCTATCTATTGTGAATGATGTGGCTGGTGACTAACAAAACAGTGAAGCAGTTGGCTGAATATATCGGACAACTTGCACAGTTGTTCAGTAATAACATCTGCTGTTTATTTCATATGGTATAGCTTCTAAAACACTGACGCAAACATCTGGCACAAGTGCCATACTTTAACATTACCTTACGACTATCTTAGCGCTAAGAGAGCTTCGAAAATCTTGGCCCAAATGATTTGTGGATCGGGACCCTGGCATGGAACTTACATGACCCGTACATTCGCTGTGAATGAACAATGAAACAATACACATACTGAATACAATAAATGACTTACCATAGATCTCAACCTCACAGATGTTCAGTGCACTAGCATAGCCATCACGTCCTCCAGCCCCCGGGTTCCTGATGGTGACGTATCTCCCGGTACCGTTACACGTCACGTCAGTTGGGTTGGGAGTATCTGATGGCCTCGGGAGGGTGGAGCAGATGTTGGAGGTGTCGTTGTTCAGATAGATGCTTGAGTTGGCATTTCTAAAGTAGACTTTGAAACAAACATGTTTTAATACTGTGTCAATATAGTCGTTGTTTGCTCACATTTCAGATCACAAAACTATGTTCATGTTATGGAATAATACCTTAATTGAGAGGAAACACGTCCAATTTAAAGTATATGCTTTACAGCAGATACGGATTAGATTAGAATACTGACACCAAAACTCCCGATCGTTTGGCAAAAATAACAGCACATTGAAGCTCAAGATTCGTCTGACTGCACATGTTTTGCACAAAATCCCTTTTAAATTTGTGATTTCTTCACTGACCGAGTAAAGGTCCTGATCATCAAGGTTATGAATACGTTAATTACTCATACCGTCCGTATATAAACAGTAACTCATATCTGCTTAGTTGTAATAAGTATCAAACACAACCAAGACACAACAACATTATGTGAAGGGAAGCAATTCTACTACTGGAATAAAGTAACTGTGAATCATTTCATGTTATGCCATTTTTAATGCAAAAAAGATAATAACATGATATGTGATGTTTTCCTTAATAACTATTTGACTGTTGACAGGAGAATATCGACATATTTATGATTTGACACTAGGCACCGTGACAAGCCTTCGAAGAGATGTGGTGTCAAATGACAGTTCACAATTTCAGTATCGTGTGTGTCCACCATTGGTGTTGATGCAGGTTTGACAGGATGCAGGATGATGCATAGACGACACTAAGAGATTGAAGAAAGCTTGGATAATGGTGTTCTATGTCTGAACCCGCGTGTTCCAATTCAGCTAACGTCAGTGGCTGATTACGGGCCAGACGTAATCGTCGCTCTATTTCGTTTCAAGCACAACACGAGAGACATATAGACAGGGATCATCTTGCTGAAGGGTGAAGTTACGCCTCTTAACGACTGCACATGAGACCCAATGATCTCATACCTGTATCGCAGACCTGTTATTTTGCCATTGACAAATTGTGGCCGACCATGAGATGCGTTGTCATAACATAACGCCATATCATAACGCTTCCGCACAAAAACTTGACGTTGAACGTCGCACGTGTCAACATACCGTTCATCTCGCCGTCTGTACACTGACATCTGACCTGTCCAGATGAAATATCGACTTGCCAGTGAACAAAACACAATCCCAATCTTGTCCCTTGTACCGTGAGATGCTGCCTGTACCTGGCAAGACATGCCTGTCGGTGACGTTGGAGCAAAATTGGACGTATTGCAGGCCGCCGGAGTAGGATGTTGTGGTCCCTCATCCGGTACTACAGGCCTGGGACTGATTGGGACGTAAACCATGAATGGTCCCAGCAGACAAACTGGCTGTCTGGAAACGATTCAGGTCAGCCGAATATGGTTGTTGTGACGTGATTTCACATGTGGATCTCTCGTGTTCCCATTATGTTGAAAATGTCTCTATAGAGCATGCCAACGGCGCGGAGACGCTGATTTTCTGTAAGCCGTGGCATGACGTACGCGCAGTTTAGGTTGCAATTAACGAGTGTTCCAAAGCATTCAGAGGTTGTAGAATAATCAACCGTCCTTCAATTTTCAATATTAGGTGTGTGAACTTCACGTGTCCAAAAGCATGCAAAAAGTGAGTAAGTCATTGTGCACAATGTGCACGTGCCACGCGCATTACGTAGCATCACATTTCATGCAAAGTGCTTTGCTACATGTTTATTTAGAGTTAGTTTTATAATTTTTCAAATAACTTTACCTTATGCAATTTTATGTTAGGCACAGTAACTTTTTTTCCGTTGGTATATATGTATACTAGGCAGTAAAAGAAACGTCAGTTTGGACTTTTTCTTCGCGGAAACAGATAACTTCATTTAATGTGTTCATTGTATATTTTTGACAACATCTCCAACTTACCTGAGCAAAGTTATTCCTTCCCAAACTCAGAATGGAACCCAGGAACTGGTCTCAAAAACGTAACCTGATCTCGGAGATGGCACGGTGTTCTCCATGTTTTTCATACAACTCATGCTGCACGTGCTGTTCACAAGGACCAGCCCTATAAAATGCACCCCCAAACCTGGTTGAAACATGCACATTACAACGTCAGAAGGATGCCGCGACTCACGACAGCTCAGATGAACCTGGCGCTAAGAAGACTTGAAGCTGGCCACACCGCACAAGCCGTTGCCAATCACTTCCAGGTCCACGTTCGGACCATCTACAGGCTGCAGCAACGTTTCCGGGCCACCAACACCATAAATGATACTGGCAGACCAAGGGTGACCACAAGACGACAAGACCGCCATGTTGTGCGACAGCATGTACAGAATCCCTTTATGCAGCACGCCAGACAGTGGGAACACACAGAAGACCAATCAGTACTGATACAGTACGCCGACGTCTTATAGCGGGAACCTCCATTGCCGTAGACCTCACCATGGACCTATCCTCACCCCTCGTCATCGGCGTGAACGTGTACAGTTTGCCCTATAACACCAAAACTGGCGATACAGGCAAAGGAGAACTGTGTGAAATTTGCTGTTCACAGATGAGAGTCGGTACTGCGTATCAACTGCATATGGCAGAACAAGAATATGGCGACGATGTGGCCAGCGTTACTCAGACCAATGTGTTATGGAAAGAGATTCATTCGGAGGTGCAAGCATCATGGTATTGGGTGGAATATGCCTGCACCAGAGAATGGGTTCTGTGGTGTTCCAGAACCTTGGTCCAGGGAGAGGAGGCGGCATCACAGCGGTGCGCTACATCGACCAAGCTCTCAGACCCCACGCCATACCACATTTCGCACGTCACCGGAACAACATTTTCCAGCATGATAACGCCCGTGCCCATACTGCCAGAGCTATACGGGACTCCCCTACAGCAGTGGCCAGCCCTTAGCCCTGATTTAAACCCAATTGAACATCTTTGGGATGAAATTCAGAGGAGACTGAATAATGTCATACCAAGGCCGAACACAGCCGATTTATTGTACCAGGCCTTTCTCAGAGTGTGGTTCCAGGTGCCAATGGCCTTCATCAATCGATTGGTGCACTTCATGCATAGACGCTGTGCTGCAGTTATTGCCGCTCGTGGTGGTCACGCTATATACTAAAGTCAAGGGTCTAAATGGACTGCAAACGTTCACGCAATGTCTTGAAATTCTGCTGAGTTATTAATTGATGTGTCAAGATATTGCACACACAAAATGTTTTTGATCCGCTTATTATGTCAATTTCTGTAATGATTTGAGTACAGTGCCTATCTAATTTTGAATTTGTGCTGACCTTTTTCGTTTGCTGCTGAGTATATATATACATATCACACCACAGTATAGTATCTACAAAGCTGAGCGAAACACATACTGTCTGGTCCTGATACAGCACAGTTATCACCCCAAAGTGATAACCTATATTTATTCCATTCATGTCTTGTTGGGTACACTTGTTAATATTATCGACTGTAAGTAGGCTAAATGTGAGAACTATTATTGCTGGTATTGAAATTGGCTTAAATCAGCGGAATGACCCTGAATTTTGTAGGATATGTAGATGAATCCTGAAACAGTATAGCGATAATAGGATGGATTTAAATGCTTTTAAATAACACTCGTTCATGTATAGTATGGCCAGAAATTATTGAGAATTTTAGGAATATGTTTAAGTGGATTTCTAGTATAAACAACCTTAACCAGCTATCAAGTGTTTGGTTTCATTCAAGAGAGACAACTCCGTTAATCCTTTTTCATTAGTTTGCGAAGAGTTACCCCCCCTTTGTTTACTTGCTAGACGACATTTTCACTGATCCTCAGTATGGATGATGTAGAGAAGAGGAAGTTGATTTTAGAGTATTATAGCAAGGACATCAGATCAGCTAAGGTGATTTCAAGTAGAACAGGCATCCCTTTGTCCACTGTTTATCGTATTTTGAAAAAAAATTCCAAATGTATATGGCATTGAGCACCAGGGAGGCACAGGTAGGACCAGAAAACTGACTGTCGGTGACAGGAGGCGTCTTGGTATTCTTGTTTCTAAAATCAAACGAAGGAGTTTGGAAAACTTGAGGCTGGATATGATTGATACAGGAACTGTGGCTGTCTGTAAGGAGACAATTAGAACTGAGCTGCATGCAATGGGTTGGCAGAAAAGTCGAGGAATTCCATCACCGATCATAAAACCTGAACAAAAGGAGCGAAGGTTAAACTGGTGCTTACAGCATAGACATTTTAACTGGGACAATGTGATTTTCTCAGATAAAAGTTCTGTGTGGCTGTTTTCTAATACACTGAAATTCTGGACCAAACAAACTGAAAAACCTTTGCATCAGCGCCCAAAGTACAGTCCGAAATGCAAATCTGTGTTAGGGGCAACGCCCCTCTGTGTATTTGAAGGGAATATGAACAGTGAGCGGTACACAGATATTCTCGAGGGACATTTACTTCCATCTGCTCACGTGTTCCATGGACATTTTTGGATTTTCCAGCAGGACAACGACCCAAAACATCGTTCAAAGCATTCACAGGCCTGGTTTCGGACCCAAACTATGACATTATTAGATTGGCAAAGCTATAGCGCTGACTTAAATCCATTAGAAAATGTTTGGGGACTTATGAAGGAAAGTGTCAATAAGAAAAATCTGACAAATATTGCTGAAATGAAAGAAGAGGTGGTCCGATATTGGGACAGCATGGACCACGCCTTTCTAACTTCTTTGATCAGTAGTATGCCCCGCCGCATTGAAGCCTGCATTGCTACCCATGGTGACTTACTGTTCACCTGTCTTTGAATCTGGAGTTATGTTCTGCTTATATTCACATTTAATACGTGAGTAAGGAGTGAAAAAAATATAAAATTTACGATCTTTAAATTCTCAATAATTTCTGGTTGTACTGTATATTAGATGATGGTGCCCCACCGTTATAACAAAAAATGCCGTATTTTGCAGTATTTGACAAAGCAATACAAACCTAATGCACATTTACTTTCTTCTGTTACCCAGTATTCAATTGTTATATACACCTCGAGACGGAATTGTTTCTGAGCCAATTCACTGATATGGAATGTTTAATATATTGATATAAATGGTATAATAATATTCAAAACATCTTATATATTATTAGGTAATATAAATGGGGTATTGGTGTGTGTGTGTGTGTGTGTGTGTGTATGTGAATTGTTATTGTTTTATGTTATTGAATGTATGGTATGAAATACTAGAAGTGAGCAGATACAGAAAAGTGAAGATATCACTCGCTGAGGTATATTAGGGGATTGTTTTGCTTTGGTTTCATCACAAGAGCATAATGCAAATATGCCTCGTCGGAGGGAGCAATATCAGCCTACTGTACATATCTGTGTTAGATCCTGTTTCCTGGATACCTACATCCACCTCTACTGTAGATCCTGATGTCATACAGGTGGAAGTCCCGGCCAAGATCCACTGTCCAGTTTGACGGAGATCCGCCAGCGTGGAAACAGGTTCTACCCTCACCATCAATGGCATTGGCTCCATCCACAGCATTTGATGCGGGCCACCCTACGTACGCTTCAGGTGTTGTTGATGTTGTCTTGCTCAGTGCAATGTTTCCTATGTGGTACAAGAATCATGTCATACACATGCTTCCATAAAAATCCCAATATGTTCAAATACTGAAAAGGTTCACAGGGTTTACATGTATGGTGACAGTCGGATTCAAGTTGATGGTGTAATGACAACCACAACTCTACAACCTATCTGTAAATGTTGTATACAGTGTGAGTTAAGGGATAATCATGCATTTTATAATGCAAACAGGCAGTTTTAACACCGAACAAAGGAGAATAATTAACACATCCATATGATAGCGTTAAATGCATGTGTCACTCACTTGTCTGGCAAAGACCTCCTTCCTTTGTCCACCCCCTATCACAAGAACCAGAACAGACACCTGTAGTCTCGTCACATGATGTCCCGCAGTGACAGGAGTAGCTACAGGTGTCTCCAAACTTTCCTGCATGACAGGAACCTGTAGGGAGATACAGAAAGGTAGGATTCAACACTGAAAGGAGTATTGACAGTCTCTAAACTGTCAAAGTGGGCTATATTGCTGGAGATGTGAGATCTTCCTGTTATGAGTGAGTGAGTTAAGATTTTAAGTCACATCGGCAATATTTCATCCATGTCGTGACTAAAAACAGGTTTACTTTTATAATACATATAGGTAAATTCAAAAAAGCCTGTCAGCGAAGGACAGAAAAACAACTAGAATCTCACAGTTATGAATTTAAAACAAGTATCTAAATCTAAAATATTTAGTTACAGAAGACAGTACAATATAAAAAAACAGGCTATAGATTACCAACATCTGAAGGTAGATCACTATACAAGGATCTGCTGGTTATGATATCTGCATAATGGATTATTCCAAATAAGGGATGGATTAAGACTTTTCAGAGTAACGAATTATTACAGGGGAGTAATGCCTTCTGATGCTCATTTTAACTGGTATCAGTGACACAAACGTTCATGGTGATGAATATTTTGATTGCATTAGTATACCCTCTCACTAAGACAACCAGTTTGTCATCCACATTACCCATTATTTCCCAGCAGATTTTTACATATACATAGGTATGCGTAGATACATAACATTGTTCATATTGTATATGAACTACGACTAGTGAAGGTTTGAAGCGACTGGTAACATGCAAGGCATAAGACGTTTTTACATTACTCATTATTTCCCAACAGATGTTACATGTACATAGGTATGCATAGATACACAGTATTGTTCATGCCGTGTATAATAAACAACGGCTAGTGCAGGTTAACTGTATCTAATAACCTGCAAAGCATAAGTCATTTTACATTACATTTGAATATTGAGCCTCAAAGTCTAAAAATAGTGTGTGGAAAGAGGACCAAAATGCAAAGAATTTTGACTGATTATTGTTTGTAAAAGCAATAAATTTGCATGACTGATAGTAACTTAATATTTCTTTTTGGGCGCATTAAAATTGGGTTTTTCTCCTTTCTGCTCATAGTGTAGATATTTGGTTTCACCACTTGAACAGATGGCATTAAGTGGGTTATTATTTCTCCCGTTGAAACCAAAAATAATATTTTCCGGTGTTAAATCAATGTATCCTTCAGCTAATTGTTTGAGCCACTTAGTCAACTCTTTCGCTTGAATGAATACAATCACACAATAAATGTATAACACTCTCAGGCACCTGGTTACAAAACGAACACACGGATGAATCAATGTATCCAATCTCATGCAAGTGAATATTAGTTGTCAAAGAATTCTGAGTTATCTTGTACTGAAACCATTCTAATTTAACGCTTTGAGTACATCGATAAGCCACCAAATTAGTATTTTCCCATTCGTTCTGTTAGAAATGTCTGTTCAATATTTCTTCCCATTTTAATTGTTCATTTGTTTTATTAAAACAAAATTGGCATTGTGTTTATAAAAAAGTTATGTTTACTATTAGCTATTTTGAAAATGCTAAAAGGAAAAAAAGTAGGGTAGGCAAGTATGTTTTCCACATGTTTAAAAGTGACATTTCTCTTTTTCATATATTCAAAGATTGCTCTTTTAAGACCTTGGTATGTAAGAAAATCAACAGCTATATCATATTTCATCCAAAGTCAGTACATTACCGTCATCATTTACTTGATTTCTCAAGTATGTTATTCCCTTTTCTTCCATATTGCTGTGATAGACTGTTCTGCCACCAATCAAAATATTGTGCCAGAGTGATGGATTTACTTTGAGCCGCATTCTTATAACAAATTGTTAGATAGTCAGACCATGCCTCCACAACATCCCTTCAGAATCTATTTGGAATAGCCTACATTTGCTAATATAAACACCATTGAAACCTCGAGCTCCATATTCAGCAGCGGTAGTAGCAACCTTTCTTTTGATTTTGTCGTTCTTACCCTTCCAATTAAAATCAAAGCATTTCTTCTGAAAAGATTGAATCATATCATCTGGTGGACTTGGTATAGATGAGAAGAGATGGTTTAATTTTGACAGTAATAAGGATTTCAAGACAACATTTCTTCCCATAGGTGTTAAAAATCTTGATTCTCAAATTTTCATATGTCTCTCAATTTTCCTAAGCTAGTCAGAATAATTAATGATTACCATAGATTCTAGATCAACATCAACATCAACTTTGATACCTAACAGATGAAATTATGAGTGTAACCAATCTAGATTGATAGCTCGCATCCTGACCTTTCTTTGGATCCTATCCATATTAGTCTTGTCTTTTCAGTATTAACTTGAAGTTCAGAAACCTTGCAAAAACAGTTAAGACATTAGGAACTGCATAGCGACCTTTCTCAGTATCATCTAATGTTAATGAAGTATCATCTGCAACCTGAGCTAAAAGGCTTTCAACATTTCCCATCTTATTACCCTTTGTCCTCTTATCTTTTCTTATCATAATTGCTCAGATTTCTACACATAGGATGAATATATATGGCAAGACCGGATCCTCTTGTCTGCATCCTCTAGTAATTTTGAACAAAGGGCTTCCGAAATGATTCTATATCATGTAGGAGAATTGAAATCCATGTTTGTACTTTTGGGGTTGAGTCCAATCCGGGATTCGAACCCACACCCTCGGAGTCAGGCACCTAAACGCCAGCACACAAAGTCAGCCACCTAACCTGCTCAGCCACCGAGACTTCCACCGCGTGGAACTCAAGCCAAAAAGTACTAGAATTTGTACTTTACTAAGAAAGTGTAATCCCAAATATAACATATGTTACTTTTGACCACTTTCTAAATGGCATTGTGTTATCATGAATTAAATTGATCTCGTCACAATATGGCTACAATATTGCCGATGTGACGCTATATATTAACTCACTCACTCATTGTTAGCGATAACTGCAGATGCAACCTTATATGAGGTATTCAATAGACTAATGGTACGACAAGATTTGAGAAACTGTTCAGGGTGCCGTTCCACTAACCGATCTTAACTAAGATCAATCTTAGCAAGTTACGCCAATTTTACAATCTTCTTAGCTAAAAGTTACACCCGTTCCACTAACCGATCTTAGGCCGATCGTAGCCGGTCCCGATCTTACGATCCGATCCAAGCTTAGATGGAGACTCTTTCGTTAGAGAGAGATAGAGGAATGCGATGCACGAGTTATTTCCCTTTGCATAGTCTAGCAAATGATGGAAGTAGTTTACGAACCAACTGAGTGAGTGAGTGAGTTTAGATTTACGCCGCACTCAGCAATAGTCAAGCTATATCGCGGCGGTCTGTAAATAATCTAGCTAATTAAGATGCATAGCGTTCACTAACATGAGCGTTCATGTTAGTGAACGCTATGTATCTTAGCTATAAATAATCGAGTCTGGACCAGACAATCCAGTGATCAACAGCATGAGGATCGATCTGCGCAGTTGGGAACCGATGACATGTGTCAACCAAGTCAGCGAGCCTGACCACCCAATCCCGTTAGTGGCCTCTTACGACAAGCATGGGTTATTGAAGTTCAATATTCTAATTTGGGCCTTCATGGGTATTTTTCCAACCAAGTGTAAACGTGGAGAAAAAAACTAGAGCAAAATATTAGGGTAGTGAGCACCTTGGTTTCAGGTGCAAGTGTGTGTGAACGCTGGGTATCAGGCATAATATAATAATAATATATGTATATTTAAAGTGCGCCTATTCCACATCCCGGGGCATGCTCAAGCGCTATGTACAGATAATTTACACGAGAGTATTTACAGCCGAAATTATAAGTAATATACTGAGAACAGGTTTTAAGTCTGGACTTAAAAAATGTCAATTATGTCAGAGCTTTTATTATGTGCCTGAACCTTGTCAATCAGAATAAACAAGGCGTGACGAGGCATCCTCTATAACGTATGTAGAATCTGTCAGTGGTCTTGAATAACACGCGGCCTGCCTTCAGAATCCCCCACCAAATAAGCGCACGTGAAATCAAACATATTTGTATCTTTTTGTTTCAGAACATTGTTCACTTCACGGCTGTCCATATTCTTAACTATGACGTTGCAATATTGTTGTACAAATGTGTTACACCGACTCGCTCGGTTGTGTTCCCATGACGACAGTGGTCAGACTGGCCTGACATCAGTGCAGTGTTTGTTTACATCACAGAAATATACAAATTCATTTCATGGGGGATTTTAGGGGACGCTCACGGTGAAATGCTCGCTCTTATTTTTCACATAAAATAGGAAAGCCACCATTTTGGTTTCTCTACGATTGATTTTAGCTATCCTAAGTTGGTCATGAGCAACTTAGACTTTGAATCTTAACTTTACGATTGACTTGGGTTAGATTGGTTAATGGAACGGTATGCCGATCGTAACGTCACGCTAAGATTGGGATTTTAGGGGTTTACGATTGGCATAGGGCTAAGATCGGTTAGTGGAACGGCACCCAGGCTTATTGGCTTCAGGCAAACATGTGATTAATCCTTGTTTCTGGGTTACAGATAAGGACCCATGCTCATGTGCATAGTTCAGGGAGTAATCAAATATATATATTTAGATCATTCCAAAAGAATTTTTAAAATTCAGCAGTGAATCATCAGGTCCTGGGGATTTTTTCATTTTTCAATGCCGTAAGACATTCTTCATACGTTATTGTACCTTCTAGATTGGATTCCTTAGGAGATAATCTTGGAACGTCTGTATCGGAAAACAGATTCTCTTGATCAATTCTGTGCAATCTTCACTAGAAAAACATTTTTTTATAAAACCCATTTGTTTCTTCTAGAATGTCACTTTGCGTATTTATTACAGTGCCATCATTTCTTACAAGATTGAAATAGACATATTTAATCAATTCATTGACACAAGATTTGCTTGGTTTTTCTCCATGTTCTAGACCCAACAAAAGTACTAGAATCTGTACTTTACTAAGAAAGTGTAATCCGAAATATATAACATATGTTACATT